CCTTTGTCTGAGGTACAGCTGCTAAAAATTTCTTCCCACATTGTAGGTTGTCTCTTAGCTCTGTTGGTAGGTTCTTTTGCAGTGCAGAAGATTTTTAATATAATGAGATCCCAGTTGTTGATTCTTTGTGCTAGCTCCCGTGCTACTGAAGATTTGTTCATAAAGTCTTTTCCTATGCCAATGTCATCAAGAGTCCTACCTAACTTATCTTCCAGCAAGTTTAGTGTTTCTGTCTTAATATTTAAATCTTTAATCTACTTCCATCTTAGTTTAGTGCATGGTGATAGGGATGGGTCTAGTTTTAATATTTGGCAGGTTGAAATCCAGTTTTTCCAACACCATTTATTAAATAGACTATCTTTCCTCCAATGAGGGTGGTTGGCTACTTTGTCAAAGATGAGGTGGCTGAGTATGTCTGGAGTTGTTTCTGCATCTTCTAATCTATTTCACTGATCTTCGGATCTGTTTCTTTGCCAGTACCATGCTGTTTTTATCACAGCAACTTTGTAGTATGGTTTCAAGTTGGGGATTGTGATACCCCCAGCCATGTCTCTGTTGCCTAGAATTGCTTTTGATATTCTAGGTTTCTTCCACTTCCAAATGAATTTTTGGATTGTTTTCTCTAGTTCTGTGAAGCATATTGTTGGAATTTCAATTGGCATTGCATTAAATCTATATAGTAGTTTTGGAAGTATGGCCATTTTCACTATATTGGTTTGTCTTACCTAGGAACAAGGTATATCTTTCCATTTTCTTATATCCTCTTCAATCTCCTTTTTCAGGGTGCTGTAGTTTTCAGTGTAGAGGTCTTTTGCTTCCTTTGTTAGGTTAATTTCTAGATATTTCTTTTTTTTGGATGCTATTGTAAAAGGAATTATTTCCTAAATTTCTCTCTCAGTGGGTCTGCTATTTGCGTGTAAGAAGGCTGTTGTGTTTTGAGTGTTGACCTTGTATCCAGCTACTGTACTGAATCTGTCAATTAGGTCTAGAAGACTTCTGACTGAGTTTTTTGGATCTTCTATGTAAAGTATCATATCATCAGCAAATAATGACAGTTTCACTTCTTCCTTTCCTATCTTTATTCCTTTTATTTCTTTCTCTTTTCTAATTGCTATGGTTAATGTTTCCAGAACAATATTGAGCAGGA